TTACAAAAAAATTGACGGAATGAAGGTGAATCATGCGTTTTTAAAACAAACCCGTTCAATGCAATATATACTATATCAAACGAGTAAATTTCTCGTTACTCAGTTATCAATATTGTAAGTAGAAAGCTGCTCATTTTCCTAATTGAAACCACTATTACCTACTGGCGACGGTCAGTTTTACATGATGAAGAGAGCATTATCATCCGCCAGGGTTCTTCTGCCTAACTAGCATTATGGACGAATTCAGAAAGGACAGTATATGTAGGCAAAAACTATTTTTAAAACTACCTAAAATAGAATATTTTAAACTTCAGGAAATTTAATTTAACAAAATTTATCGATTTATTTTCTTATTGAAATTGATTTTTTTGGTGCAATGCTTCTTTTATGTATCAAATCATGGTCTGGCACAAATTTCCTCTGGTCCATACTTAAGTATTTTGTTATCGATTACTTTTACAAGCAAATAAGCATAGACAAATTAGGTTGCAGCGCTAAAAGTTGGAAAGGTCTCTAATACTTGAAAGCTTATTGCATTGAGAACCAGAACAAATTGTTCGTGTACATCCAAATGTCGAAACGTCTTTCCTCGAAATATATTTCATATTTTATTCAACAATTTCTTCACGTTGTTTGGTGACCGTAGGTAACATGATACAGGGTGTTGAAAGACAAAAACTTATCATTATTGCATTCAGTGGGAATTGGGAACACACCAATACATATAGATTCGCAAAAATCGGTGACCGTACAGTTGAACCCATGTACATTTGAACCCATGCGTATATCCACGGGTTCAATCTATAGGCGGGTGCTAAAACCCATGGGTTAGGGTTAGTATGGGGTTAACTATCCGTGAAACAAAAAAAATTCCATAGGTGCAATAGCATACAGGTGCAATTGTCATGGATTCAAATGTACGTGGGTTCAAATGTAATGGAACCGCAAAAATCACATTGATGGAATTTTTAACTGGTTTCTTCATATTAATATGCGTCAAACTCGTAAACCTTCGATTAGAAATACCGAGGAAATAGTATTTCATCGGTTCAAAAAAGGTAATGTTTAAAAAATTTTCACGTAACCGTTCCTAACAAGGCTCTTTACAAGCTGGTGATATGGTCAAATCGCAAATCATACTCGCAAAATGCGTTCAAAAATTCAAGAAGTCACAATACAAAGCATGGCTATTTATATTCTCATCTTAATCTCAAACTGCAAAATAGAATTCTAACATTTATACTCTATAGATCTCACTTTAAATTCTGAACGCTACAGAGCCAAGAACATGTTTACGACTACAGAAGATTTTATTTAACAAATATGAACAGCCCGAAATCTGAAAGCTAAGACAACCTAGCAATAATTATATCAGGGCGTAGTCTGAAATATTTTCCACAACGTCTCCTCACCGTTACGGCACGATAGCAAACTTGGAAAGCCGCACACGTTCTCGTTATTTATACAAGGGGTGGAACAATAAAACTGTCTGAATAATGTTTGGTTACAACAACGAATGTTCACTGCAGATGAATAAAGTGTAGACTCTGCTATTGTGAAAATATCGCTAGGTTTATAATTCATTAATATTTTACGATCAGATTTGTAGAATTAAATGCTCCTATGCTGTTTCTCTATACGAAATAGTTTGTGGTTTATAATTTGGAAAATTATGCATCTAATGGTGGTTCGTATGCCAGCAATATGGAACTTAACAATAAAATATTTTACTTAGAATTCGTGGACAATTTTTTTCCTTTCTCATAGTATTATACATTCCGTCTGCCTGTAACTGTGTATTCACCTGTGTTTGTATTTCGATGTGTTTGGCTGTTGTGTTTTATTTCAAATATGAACACTCAAGTTTGCAATGAACAAATTTGCACTGACGAAGTTCAACACAAACGCCGACCCTAACGTGGCATGTTAGTATATGGCATTGATTTGTATCTATGTGTCTCTAGAATTAGAATGGTTCCTAATACCACTGGACTTAATACCAGCTGTAGCGTGGCCATAATTGCCCTATCTTCAGGCAACATTTTGAAATACTATATCAGATTGCATTATTTTACCCAATACCAAAAATGAATCCAAAAATTTTATATTCTTTTGAGCTCATATATTTACAGTTGAAATCTAAAGTTTTTATATGAAACTGATCATGAAAACAATCTGTAATGTCCAAGTGCATATACGTAACGGATATGTTATTCTATTAGAGTATACATTCCAACTTGCCCACACTTGTGTCAATTGTAGGAATTTCACTTTATATGAATACTGTAACCTTCTGTCAAAGTATTAAATCTGCCTTAACCCAGAACATAGCATGAATTACACTTCATATGCTTTCTTTAACGATTAGCCCTACAATACATATCTACACTGACACAGGACTTTTGATCGAGTGTAGCAACGTGAGACAAATTTGCTAAACAAGGGACAAGTGTGGAACAAGGGATACGCGTTATTTTGGCGACATCATTTCCAGAACACTTTCAAGAACAAATTTCTGTATTTGATTTTACAATTAAATTCAGAAAATGATCAGTACTGTGAAAATGAAAAGCTAGGCGTTAAATTCGTATTGAGAAAGAAAATGACAATTTTTATACAGAAAATATGAGGTAGTTAGTGGAAAAGCACTAAAAATTCATTAGTAATTTACATTTTTTTCTATCTATCTGTCGAAATACAGATGATACCTTTATGGTTAATAATACAATTCGCAAGGGAGCACTTGTTCTTGGAAAGCAAATACTAACGCATGCGACGTCATTTAGTAATGTAAACAGAGAAAGCAGACAATATTTGTACAGGTAAAGAGATCAAATATTGACAACGATTCTTTATCATATGATATATGTTCAGTCACAATTACCAAGTGAGATATCTATATTTACGGAATTACTATAGGCCAGGAGCCAAAACCTATTTTAGGTCAATATAAATTCATGGTAATTTTTCTAAGGTGAGAATTGTCAGATGTTTTGTCGTGGCCTTGTGGTTCAGCCCAGACATCCTGCCTTTTTACCAATATTTACAGAGGTTGTAGTCAAAGCAATGCTAACCTTGCTAAAATCAGAGATTTTGTATACAGACATCACATCATTGCCATCAGTATGAATAATCCCTTAGTTAGTTTTGCCAATTAGAAGCGCAATTCGAACTAGCAAAACTTTTGTCTAACAAAGATCGATAAAACAGCGATAAAATAATTGTTTCCTCCCACTGTTCGAAATTATCAACTCATAGACATAAAGTCGATTCGAAAAAGATTTCAAGTCGTTGAAATTGTTACTCAAAACTATATTTGTCAAGTGCTCTATTATCCAACTTAAGTGCTTTGTTGACTGAGTCTTCAAGTATTTATGTAGTGACTTAACGACTCTACCAGTTACTTTTAAAACCCAAATGTAGCATTATTTCACGTTTGAGAAATTCTATTTCCACTCATTACATTTTTAGTTAATAGAGTCTTAGAGGGTACTCCTGAAGTATGCGTACCAAGATGGCCGACACCGGAACGTAGTATGTGTTCCAGGTTAGGTTTAGGCCATAATTTTATTCCAATTTTCCCCTTTTTAGTTCTATTACGAATTCGGGGACTAGCCAAGTGACCCGTAGTATTAGTACCTAAATTATTGTCTAACCTACTGCACATACTACGTTCCGGTATCCGCCATATTGGTACACATACTTCAGGAGTATTCCTTAAAGTACCTTAATGATTTGCTTGTTCACGTGTTACATTAGTAAATATGCTGCTGTAAATCTGCCGCCTGTAGTTGCAAGAGAATTTCCACTTGAGCAAACGCATGATAAAATTGTTAATGGTATAAACCAGGTATTGGCACGGTTTTTGGTGACAAAACTAAATTTAATCGCAATCTCAACAAATTCCTTCAGCTATTTCAAAGCTTAACATAAGAGTTTGGTTTTAGTGCGGTTGTGGCAGCATCAAGCGGGCCAGATTGAACTATACCCAACCGGTCGGATTTGCATGAAATACGCGGGGCGTAGTTTGCCCATTTCTGGTAAGTTATAAACTATAAACGTTTTTAATACAGTTCAATAACTAAAGTCCAAGACAAATCAAACACACACGATTATCATCGAAGATCGGATAAGATTCAAAAGTAAATACAATATTCCATCCTACGGTGTGGAAATTTATAGAAGCTGGCGCATATATCAGAGCTTGAATTTACTTCCCAACCCTTTATCAATGAACACAAATTATAGGCACTATTTTTGAAAAAAAAAATTATGCGAGTTACAAGTAATTTGTGGTTTAGCCTGCCATTCTGGGCAACCTAATATATATCCTTTGTTTTTCAGACTATTCGACAGAATATGAATTCAAGAAGGCCCGCTCAAATATTTAATACCATGTAACATTTTATTTAATTTTGATATTGAGTTTAACACCCTCAAAAATGTTATTATTATTGGACACGAAATGCGGTACTCAAGGATGGTTGAAGTCCAGAGAGCTTATATTATATATTTTTTCAAATCAAAAATTTATATATATATGTTCGACCGACATTTCTTTCTGTACTTTATTTTCATAAATATTACAATCCATGTATTTCACATGAGTTTCGAGTCTGGCCTTATATTTTCACTCATTTCCATCAAACGAACTAGTATGGTGTTACAGGACGCGCAGCCTAGAGGAAGGCCTTATATTAGGAAATACAATTATAACAAGAGAGCAATTGGGTTAAATAAATGGACACGAGGTTTTCACTGATTTCCTCAAACGAATATCTTCATCTCAAGAAATTGTCGAGCGGTAAAACTTGATTATAAACCACCGGAACATGTTCTTTCAAATACGGATGTTGTAATGCTTCTTCGGACGTAATTCGGAACTGTGGATCCCATCTACAATACGTTATAAGTGATTACAGGAAATGTACATGAGCAACAACAACTATAAACAAACGAGAAGAATTGATAAAATTATGATAAGTAAACGTAATTTCAATTTACTTTAGACATCTTGCAATCAAGTCAAACAATAGAGCGTCATCGACACCTAGAAGCAGAAGAGCCAGTGGAGTGCGGTTAGGTTTCCTCTTCAACCCGCTTTCAGTTGTGTAGTTGATTGCTTCTGATTTAAATAAAAATAGTTATAAAAAATCATCCAATCATATGATTGCAGCTTGTAAGAAGACCTATAAAGTCAATATATCTAGATATAGACAAGAAATCTAGATATCTGACCACGCTTCAATGGAAAAATGTCTATACTTGCATATATATCTTTTCCTGGTGGGATCATATAAGATGGTGGAGGTCCAAGCACTTCCATCAAGGATGCAAATTGATCAACTTTATTTTTACCGTGCATAATTGGAACACCAATAATCAGTTGAGCCAAAATCAAACCCACGCTGAACATGTCTATTTGATTTGTGATAGGTAAGTCGAGAAAAATTTCTGGTGCTCGATATTCCAGAGTTTGAACTGTCTTCGGACAAAAATAATCTGCAAAGTCAGTAGATCGTTTATGTAATCTTGTTTAAATTAAGGCGGGGAAGCTTCTACTAATCATATATTTTGGCAACATGATGAATACCCAAGTTTCATATGGCACGATTTAACTTTAACAGTATATTGAGGCCCTTAAAAGTTCTTACGTGAGCTCGTCTCTGCGCCAGGAATACAGCTGAGTCCAAAATCGGCAACTTTTAAAAGCTGACCTTCGGTTTGGTTTATTCCCTTTCCATAAATTAACATGATGTTGTGCTGTGAAATTCGTTTCAAAGCAAATAAACGATCAATAAAAAAGGAAGTTAACTGAAAGAAACAAGAGAGTAATGTTCAAATATATGGACACGTAGCAAAACAAAATATGTTATCAATTCCGCAAAAATCACATATGGTACAGTAACTTACCAGACCATACCTGTAGCTGTAGGCCTGATATTCGTCCGCGGAACCGCTTGAAATAAGTTTGAAACCGCGTTCTCATGAGTAAAAAATAATACACCGAAATTTTGGATGAAATATCAGATCTCATAGGATTCATAGAAAAATTTAGGAATAAATATAAGTAATAGCCTTCTAACGGAAACATCACTTTTCAACCACTGAAAATTTCAAAGCAATTGGTCGTGTAGTTAAAGTGAAAAGCAATTTTTCCATAAAGATACAAAGAAGAATACCGAGAACACGGACGAGAACAACAACATAATAACAAAACGATCCATAGGTACACTACGTGTCCAAAAATAAGAGAAACGGGCGCAAGAAGAAACAAAATAAAAGAATTCGTAAATAAATACCGGTTTTAAATCAGCGTGCACAATATTGAATTTCTTCAAGTAATACATCGCGTGCATAATATCGTTTGTTAGTTGACGCATCAAACATGAATCTTGAATGGGGTGTCCCAGAAACTGATCACTGACCAGTGAAGGTCTATAACATGAAATTGATCAAAAAATGAGTACTCATGTAGTATGTGAACACCGGAACGTAGTATGTGTACCAGGTTGGGGTTAGGCCATAATTCCAGGTACAAATACTACGGGAGTCACTTGTCCCCGAACTCCTAATAGAACTAAGATAGGGAAAGTTGGAATAAAATTATGGCCTAATCCTAATCTGGTACACATACTACGGGAGCGCCAAATAGTGTTATTAAAAATAGAATAATTTAAAGATATGTGGTCGTGTTGTAGGTGGACAACGTTCTCCATAATGAAATTTATAAATAAATTGGAACTCATTGTACATAGGACAAGAAAATTCTGTTCTCTAGCAAAATAAAGCTTTTCTTAGCATAATTTTTATTTTATTTTATAAAAATTGATTTAAAAATACCCGAGCAACTCCAAGACAAGACATCGATGGTTTCGGAAAGTGAAACAATCAATCTTTTGTACAAAATATTCGTTATTGATCGTACGTGATTCTAATATATTCATGATTCCAACTTCTCGTAAAAAGAATTTCTCGCCCCTGCAATAAGAATATTACGCAGGAAATAAAACTTGTCCTGAGCTAAGAGTGGGCCTTAATATTGTGGCTGAACGTATCTGCCGGATCTAAGCCTAAAGCTATGCTAAAGCTGAAGTCTGAAAACGATCAAAACAACTATTGCAGCAGAGCTTTTTAATATTTATTTATACTTACATGCGCCTTTCAGATTTTCTAAGTATTTGCAGAAAAAATAAGATTATTTCTATAAAATACAAATCGTTAGCGTGAGCTATATTAAAAGTGTTGTGATGGATGACGGTTACATTTTCAAAACTAAGAACGCATTGAACTCAGTTTTTCAGAAGCGAGTCTTAACGACCACACCTGGGGTAGAAGCGATGCATTCCATATTTGAATTGAATTTCACTTTATTCAAATAGGTGAGAAACTTTTTCATGTTTTGTGCTCGTTGAAACGCCATATAATAAGCTGTCGTGTGATATTTATATTACCCAGTATCTTATTCGTTTGAGGTTTAAAAAAAGTGAATTATGCACTACCATACCACGCGTAGTTTCTTAATATTTTCACGGCAACCAAGCTACCGTTTGAGTGATCCAACGCTTTTACTGTAGATCCACATGCGCCACTTCCAAGTTCCTCTAATATTTCGTAACGGTATGCCATGTGATCATGAATTATCTGTGAAAAAGATTGACACAAATTAGTTTAAACGCTTTGCTGTAGTATAATTATATTACTTATATACTTTATTGTTACGGTGCTGTGATACTTATTGATGTCCTCATTATAAATTATTTCAACTGTACAAAAGCGGGAGTGCGACTTGCACAAAATGAACAAACAAAGACTGAACAAATAAAGTAATTTTTATTAATAGCTAGGGAGGAGTTAAAAGTTTCAAAATTGACCAAGGTAGGAATTCAACGCAAAAGGTTGGGAACCACTGTGTTAAGCATCAAACAAAACTATAACATACCGATTTATAATATCCGTCTCTATTCTTCTGTTCAAAATCAAATCCAAAATTAATGGTTTTGTTCTCTTGATGTTGACTCTTATTTGCACTCAGCCCAAGGTACCAGATGTTTGAGTAATTAAAAATTTCTTGTTTTTCCCATTTTGTTAAAGCAACCCCAAATATATTCACCGCATCTTCGATAGAAGGGAATAGGAGGAATGTTTGAAAAATACATAAAACATAGACAGGCATCTGACTATGCTGCGTTGGATCTTGTCACTGAATTAAAACAATGTTATCCAAACATACGCATAGACTAGAGGGTACTAGTAGTTTGGGTTAAATTTACAAAGAAATTACACAATGCTATTTTTATTTGATGTTATTTAATTTATTTTCAAATATTCAGAATTTCCTTGCTTGAAATAAAGGAGATAATTTTTTTGACTCTACATATATATGTCTCGGATCGTTTTGCACTTTGGGTTATTGTTATTGTATGAAATCTTTTTTCGTAAAAGACCATTTGTTTTCAAATTTTCTTGAGATAAGTACTTAAATATAGAAGAAGTCTCCAATGGGCTGTGTTTCAATTTTTTTGTCAGATTTTTGCAACATTTTGTGGATCATGGTCTTTCGCTCAAATTTTTGCTATTCTTGCCAATTTTGCATCACCACGCCTGTATGCAAACGCGTCATCTTTTAAGCAAGCCAGGTGTTCAGCTAATTTGTAACTTTACCTGGTGTGAGTTGCTACGCTGATATAGGATTGATTTGTAATTTTGATTTGAAATCTCTGAATGATCAGATAACAAATTTTTGTGTAGCCCATTTAGGTCAATGCGTTGTTTTTCTTAGTAAATTGATCTCCATTTACATATATTTCAGCATTTCTCTTTTGTTTTTACAATGATAACGAACGAATTGAGAATCTGAAAATATCTATCCTTTTTCGTGAGACCTACCTTCTGGCGACATTGGAAATTCATACGTGACATCCGAGTTATTTCTCCAAACACTAAGTTTGTTGATTTTATCAACCGATTTATGAAATACTTGACTATCATTTTGGAAAATATAGTGTCTTGACTGTGGAATGGTTTCATTGAATTTCTGTAAATCGGAAACGTTGACAACCACGTCATCATTGGAGTCCGATTCATTTGTAAGTTTTGCTTCAAAATAATATAAATCGGCACTAAAGTTGTCTTTTATTGTAGTAGAATTACAAGGACCCACAGAATCAAAATTTGTTTCAAATCTGTTGTAATCTTTCTGCTGGTTCCTGAAAAACAGGTTGAAGCAAAGAGATATTTTCAATCCGAAACGAAATGTTTATTTAGAAAACGAAGCAAACAGAAAGGTTCAACACTTTTATTACAGTAAACCTGTAAGCCGACTATACATGAAAATGTTAATTAATCTGATCTTATTTGGGATTAAAAAAACATATCTTGGACCTTAAATGCGTAGCGCAAACTTCATCATCTATCTCTCAGTCGAAGTAATACAACATGCAGCATTTGTACAAATACTTATTTTTCCCCGTGATGCGTGAATAAATTAATCTACTTCTTACCCTGTTCCACTTGAACAATCTTGATCGTTTGTTTTTTGCGGCCCCGTACGTCTTATTCCACTGCTTCCAGCGCTTGGATTCCACACATGACTTTCTATATTTCTTCCTTTTCTATCAATATTGCAGTTATTGTCTTCTTCCTTTCTGACTGCAGCTGATAAATCTCTATCCGCGGTTTTGAAAACAAAGATTGGTAAAAAAAGATTTTCTCTGTCTTCCAACGATCGTGGTACATTGATTGAGTTTGTAATCGGAAGATCACTCCTCTTATGATCTGGATTGGAAAGATGAGGACGCAAAAACGGGAATAAACGTTCAAGAATATCGACTTCTTTCATAAATGAATCCCGGGTTACTTTATCACGTGCAGTTCCACATTTTTCCGAAGCCAGGAAAATGAATACAATCAATGAGAAACCGAGTACCGCGAACCGAACTTTAATCTTCGCCCGAGAGCAAATCATTTTATTGCTAGGATAAATGATTTTATATTCCAAATAATGAAATATTCGTGAAGTCAATTCTCGTATATCCTAAACAACTATTACTCCGGTACTATTAATTGACGTACGTCAGCGGAGTAAACCCCAATCTCAACTCCTTAGAGGTCAATAAGCACACAATATATTGTAATGTCAATTGTAAAGTTGCACGATCGAATTGAATTCAAACAGATATATTGAAATATTCCTTAAACCTTAATGCCAGTTATACGGTTGAAATCCAAATCAGTAAGAATGCACAAAACATGAAAACATATTTCTTTGTTTATTTTACTTATGTTTACTTCAACTATTATCTGACTATACTAAAATATTTTTTTCTCAAAATGAAATCTATTGTATTATTGATTTCAGTAGCAAACTTTTCAACTGTTTAAAATCTGTAACATCTTTTCGACACTCTCGCATTCCTTTTCTCTTTCTCAATGATATATTTCAAACTACACTTCACACCATTTTCACAGTAACCACAGGTACTTATTCTTGATCCGGATACGATGAGTCTGATATATCTGTTTCTACCCAAAATTTATTTCAAATCATTTTGTTTCATACTCCCCACCCTCGTGGTGAATATCAAATAAACAAACACAAATAAATTAAAAAACACAAATATAAATAACCACAATGAATATAAATATAAAATTACAGCTAAAACGAATTCAATTTAATCATTTCTCCAACCTACGAGGTTAAATCACGATGTCACAAATAAAAGTTGTCAAAAAAATAAAAATAAAACAGCAAAATTTTAGATTAAACATCGGCCTTGTAAGTACAGGCGATCTCTTCCATCTTCAAGTACAGGAAAATTGGAGTCAACAGAATCAGAATATATACCTAAATGTATACGTATGAAAAGTATACCTAATGCATATGGAATGAAAATTTAAATATGTGATACATTTTGTACCAGAGTGGTAGGTAGAATATACTCGGTACCTTTGTGTGCATCCGTTTTTGGGTTTAAAGTATTCAAAAACTACGCTGATGCTAACTTTATAAAATTATTGGTAACTTGACATTTGCAGAAAAAATAGCGGGCCAGAAATGTATAAAAAACAGTATGACATTACGCAATATACTTCATTATTATGTCATAGTTCAATAACATTTGGAAATGCTTCGAGTTGGAACACTTGATACTTTAAAGATAATTGTGCCAGACAATAACAGTGAAGTACCCTGATGATGTAAACATTACAGACGAATATGAGAGTCTCATTCTTTCATCAAAGCACTTGAAACACTCGAAATCTTAAAATACACATTAATATCGATTCTGTCTAAAGTCGTCATTACAAATTAATCAGTTAATCATGCTAATTAATCGGAAGTAAGATCTATGAACAAATTGTATTGCTTTACCTGCTATGGTTCGTTTACGAAGAAGATTCAAATTATTCTGCACAATTTTTATGTGTGCTTCTGTTATAACCTGCTACCGTTCAGTTTATAACAAACTGCAAAACAAGAATTCAAAACTTCGAGAATTGTCAGTCGAATACAACGACAATGATGTCTTGTTTAATCTACTAAGAGATAACGATGGTAGTGAAAGGCAACTCAGCAGTGGATTGACAAATAAGGTTTCGTTTGGCTTGTTTAACGAAGTAATGTCGGACGACGAAACAAACAGCCTGGCGGTAAAATTCAAAACGTTTGTTGCTGGTGATAATGTCGTGGGTGGAAATAAAGCAATCGTGAACAAATATACCGGTACCAAAAGTTTGCAATTGAAATCCGAAAAAGCTGGAACCGGGTATTTTGAATTGCCGGTCTTACGAGAAGCCCGTTCCACTATCAGTTTATACCAGAGCGAGAACACACCTAGTTTTGCCACCTCACTCCAGAACGAAAATTATAGCTCTGCAAAAGTCAAAGAAGTAGAAGGTGATTTGATTCATGATCAAAATAGTGATACTGCATACTTTAATCGTTGTTTTAAGCTTTTCAATTCGCTTCTTGAGGTAATCTCATATTTTATAGTTCTGTTGCCCTATGCCCGTTTGCTAATTTTGTTTAATAGAAATGTGCAAGTCAATTTTATTTTTCCAACCAGTGAAAAAAATCGCTTGAGCACGAATTACGAGAAAATGATAGTTGCACAGTCTTACTGGGAAGGGGAAGTCGCGGGGAACCAATGTTATCCAGCAGCGACACCCATAATATGACTCTGCCAAATTTGTCTATTGTACCTTGTTTAAGACACTGTTTGTTATTAAGCAATGATTTTTAGCGATTTACGTTCAGTTTTTTTGAAAGCTTTAAGCAAACGTTTCCGTGTTTAAATCGGGTTTGAGTTTATAGTTTATAGTTTTGATTTTCTACGAGGTTAAAAAATAATCAATCGGCATACCACAGTTTTCCCTGTTATGTAGTTTACTTCGACTCCAGAATTAGCAAAAAAACGATACAAATAAAGACAAAAGAATAATTAGGTATGTCAGAAAAGCATACAAATCTTACAATTATGTTTAAACGCGCAGGAAAATATTTTGTGAATAATTGTGAAATAGGAATGACACGCGTTTGCTCACTAACGAAAGAGCAAATTTTGCCAAAACTTCATATATCTTTTTGCGATCAGTGACTTTTGAGGATCATTATTTTATATTGCTAACAGACTTCAGGATGAAAGAATTAGATCAGATTCTAATGAGCGAGAATATACAACCGACGATCGAGGTTGGAAAGGAAACGTCACCAGCAACAAGCTTTAGCGGCGATAATGCAAAAACTCATGATCAGAGAATGGAAATTGAAAACAACACGGAATCTCAGCAATTTTACGATATAACATTGCAAGATGACAATCATGAACTAGAATATCAAAAGCAAAAATCCGTCACCTTCAAAAATGATGAAATTACTCAAATATTTCCATTAACTCCCGAAGGTAAATTTTATTTGGAGGGAGACGACAAAATTCATAAATAATGTGATTTATTGAAGATATCAATTTAAATATATACGAATATTCTTATTATACTGAAGATAGTAATGCTTTGCAATCGTAACCAGAATAGGTGTTTTGATTCATTCGTTGTCTAATAATAAGGCTTCCATTGCGGTCATTTGTTTTTGATAAAAAGTGAAATAGACATAAATTGTTGCTGCGACGAGTCTTTGTTTCCAGTGTATTATCAAAATTAATTCAACAACCTTGACTTTATTGAATAGACTGAGGCGAGTTTAAAAGTTCATGATTATTTCTAATTCCATGAATGAGGTACTGGGAGTCAAAAACGGAGGTAGGCAATTTTAAACAAATGAAAATCGAAATCGAGCAGAAGTAAAAATGTTGTGAACGCAAAGATTATCATCAAAATAAAACTTCATTTTCGGCATAATCGGGATCAAAAAATTTACGACGTCAGTTATTGCATTAGTAGAAGTTAGATGAGACCGTCCTCAATAAATTATGCATGTCTGTTTCCCAAGATTTTTCAATGTCACTTTTTATACTACGCTGAAGTACATTGTTTTTGAATTTTTATCGTCATATTTTATCTCTTTTTGTCATTCACAGATGCCATCCAGATTTTCGGAGAAAAATTGAATGATTGGGAACAACGAGAAATTCGAAATTATTCAACAATTTGGTATCTCGGTCTAGAAGCAAACAAAACACGACCCCATCAAAACTCCGTCAGCAACTATGGATTTGATTATTCTAACAACGGCAATGAGAATAAACATTATAAAGTGGTAAGAAATACTGAATACGAATGATTTTCATTTCATATTAGTTTCTTCTTTTAGTTAGTATCTTATAGATTTAGTCTGTTGTAAGCAGGAAAAGGTAAAAAATTACCTGGTAATCAAAATAATTATATATAATTTTCATTGAAGATAGATTTTAACAATTTTTTGAATCGTCATACGAGACTGAATCCATTTTTGAATGAATGTTCATTCAATTCAACAAGATACTCGGAGATCACATTGCATATCGATATGAAATATTGAGACTACTCGGGATGGGGGCGGAGGGAACAACAGTGGAAGCAATTGATCACTCAAACAACGAAAGAGTCGCCATTAAAATCGTCATTAATTCTGAGTGGTATTTCAGTAAACTCCAATGAGTCTTGTCCGATGTATTGATGTTTGCTGAGCTTATTAGAGACATAGCGATGCTACAAACAAACTATGTATTGAAATGAAAATACTTTTGAGTGTCGAATGTGCTTCAAGGAACGTTATTGTAGAGATGCACTAACATGATTGAAACAGAGTTTTGTTGATACTCTTAAACAACCTTGATAGAAAATTGTCTTTTCTATCACTGCGACTGTTTTTATGAGGTCTCAGAAACTGCTAAAAGAGACCAATAAGAATGTAATCTAGGTTGAAGCCTGACCTAACCCTAACAACGAGTTTAAAATCCTCAGTACCCTGATCAAAAAAGTGGGAAGAGCAATCTGCACAATCGGGTAAATTGAGAATTCGAATCGCGTTTATTAATCTATGATTGACAATGAAAACGCGCCACCGGTTGCATGCGGATGAAACGGGTGAATGAATAACCAACACAAAAACTACAGATAGTAATGGCAATTCTTCATATTAATAACCATTAACATTGCATCATCAAAAGCCATCACTGTACTTGAAATTTGGTTGAACCTTCGGTTAAGTTGGGGTTGAGGTCTTTAGTTATTACTTATATGGAAAAATATTTACGTCTTTACGTAGTAGAATCCCTAACCCGCTTTTTGTACTGCACCCTTGCCTATGCTCAACAATTAATTTAGGGCTAGATTAGAAAGTGCTCTGATATTATTATTATGTTGCGGAACATTTTCACTTTATTTTTTTAAATCACCGATTCAGTACTCAAAATATAGTGAAACATACAGATAGATAACATTTATAAAAACTTTTAACTTGTACTTTCTCTTAACTTCTTTATATTTCAGGGGAAAATCGGTTACAGGAAAAGAAATAAATATGATGAAATGCATTGAAAAATTTGCTACAAACCTTGACTACTTTTCACGATTAATTGATTCGTTTCGATTCCGAAACCATAGATGTCTCGTGTTGGAACTGCTTGGGTATTGACTCTGACATTCTCTGTTTTCTTATGTTCCATTGTCCTTGATGTCTTTTTAATCGGTTACTCAACTATCAAGTCTCTGTAGAGGCCACCGCTCAAAAAATTTCTATTCTTCAGAATGTTAATAATCTTTATGTTCGCAAATAGTATACACAATTTGTCACACCTTATACACATGGGATGTCTATAGGGCGTACCAGCATGGTTTGTCTACCAGGGATATTTCTATGAAGAGGCGACAACTGACGTTACTAACTATGGGATTAGTATGCAATTGCATCTATTTCTCGGCTGCAATGTTCGAAATATTCAGCTATGGTAATCATTATGCTGTTTGTATACTGAAACATACGTTTCACATGTAGAGAAATGGTTTTCAACCCTTTTGATGGAGCGGAATCCCAATGAAATGTTCCGTAGGGTTGGGGAACCCTTGTACAATAGTTTCATTGTCCGAATTGTATTAACTACGATAATATATATAAAAGTAAACCTGATATCAGCAATGAAAAAAGATCTTTCAATGATAGTAATTTAAATTATAATAGTGACAAACATAATAGGTATTTGAACTCCGACAGAACCACTGGTTTAGAGTATATAATAGTGAGTCCGACAAAACATCTATCCGTGTACAGGTCTTCCTTAGAGCAGGATCTACCACATTATCCGATTAAAGATGCCAATATTATGAAGCGTGTTGCAAAGGACATTTTTCATGCTATGTTTTATCTTCATGAACTTGGAATTGTACATATGGATTTAAAACCGGTAAGTTTACTCATTTCAACGTAGGTTAGTGTAATCATTTATAATTCTTTATATATATATTATACATGCTTTAAATGTGGTATCTTTTGCAAGAAAACTTTTGTAATTAATCCCATTTTCCCACATTTAATAATCCTTTAAAGTAGGATTTTTTAAAAAAGTATTGCTCTTGTTTAATGTTTATCAATTAATGCGTATTTTCATTTCAATTTTTGACGCAGTTTTATACAGACTTGGCCTATATCTCGCAGGACTAGCATTTTTTTCTCACTTTTTTCGCATTACACTCACACGTAACACTCATTTGATGACGTATTGCACTTGAGTAGAACTTTGTCTTGCGATATCAAATAAGATATCGAACCAATATCACGTTACATTTTGAAACCGAATTCATTTCTATTAGGTAAAATTGTTATTATAATATTTTTTGTTTATGTAAAGGACAACATCTTGTACATGTACGGAAAAAATAGACAAAGCAAAGGTCAACTGGTAAAAGTTGTCGATTTTGCAATCAGTTGTATTCCAGATTCAAAAAGTGGTTCGTTTTTTATCTTTTATAGTTTATTTCTGTAATATATATCCCGCATTTGATAAATTTTAAATGTAAACACAATTATTCTTTTATAATTGAGTGTTAGAAAATTTTTATAAATATGAATCGTATTCGATGGATTTATATGTTGAATGAACATGGAACACTTTATTGAATACGAAGTTGACCTATGGTTTTTCTATAATATTGTAGTTGTGAGGATTTTTTTGTTGTTGTCTGGATCTTTTCAGTATTTAAAATTAGTGGAGGTCACTAGAAGGCCATCACTTTTTTAATTTCTTCCGAGTCTTACGAACTCGATTTTTCATCCCAAATACTGCTGTTCATTTTAAATTTCCTAGGAATACTTTTAATGATAAATGGGAACACTTTAATTCGTCACGCTTGTCTGCCGGTCTTTCCAGTGAAATCGGTGCCCTGCTTGACAGCTAAGTCCTGCCGTATCTCCAGCGATGCCCGATCTTCGTGTCGATATATTTGAGCAGTACTTTGGTCTTTTACTGTAATTTACTTTATTAGAAATAATTGCAATTTCACAGAACTCAAATGTCCGGATCACCATTTACAACCTTATTACTATCGATCACCCGAAGATATGCTGTATTTACCGTTCACAACTCAGTGCGACATATTCAGCGTGGGAACTATACTGGCAGAATTATTTCTTGGCGTTCCCGCAATAGCAGGAAGAGATGAAATTGACCAATTCGTCGCTACCATCGGAATACTGGGTCTACCACCAGCTCACATGCTGATCAATGCAAAGAGTCCAATCTTTATCGGTATATTCAATTCACAACATATCCATGCATTATTTTTTTGAACTAGAATGGTTGATTCATTTATGGAATATTTTGAATATCAATGAAGTCGATATATCCTAAAATTTCAATTTCAAAGTGGCAGAAGACGACGTTTAATGTTAATGACCATTGCGACGATGAAATTATTTATGGTTTGACGGTATACCGTTGGAATTTGTAGCTTAAATATATCATATTTACACATCATTCCCACTATAATAAAAATGAGTAAACAATGTCGAACCCAAATACTCTGACCCGTCCAAGACATAGCTTCTTACGTAGTTGCTTGTTCAGAGTCGCGTTAGGGCTGAAACACTCAATTACCTCATGTTTTTTCATTGTTATGCAGATTCTGATTTAGCTATTATTTACTTTTATTTACTTTTACATCAAGTCACCGCGACCTTCTCTGACTTGGAATAATTTCAAAACATTACATTGTTATGCAGATTCTAAGTTAGTTTCTGTCTAATTTTACATTAAAACCACCACGCAAGTCTCCAAACTGGTATAACTTTCAAAAGATTATTCAAAACTGAAACATTTTTGAAGTCGATTCATGTTCATGATGCTGATAAGTCCAACGTCGCCTATACTTGATTTTTTGTAATCAAGAGAACGCATAAGATTGTAATAAAGGGGACAAGAAACACTATCGTATCAGCTTCTCTGTGCCTCGGGATAAATATGAAAATCCCTTTCCAACTTACCAATGACTTACAGTTTTATATTTATTCATTACTGTTTTGGATTTTTAATTCACAGAAGCTATGAATTATGTGCGTCAGAATCAATTTCGTTTCAAAAAATTAACAAAATCACTGCAAACAACATTGAAAGGGATGGATCCGCTATTATTTGATTTAATTTCAAAGTGTCTTGAGTAAGTTAGGAGTTTGTTCTAAGTTTAGACAATGTTATTTTTTTAAATACCTGATTTTTGCACTTTTGTTAAACAGCGTCTGTAGCTTCATCAGGATTAGTTTTGTAAGATATCACTTGTATAGTTGCCCTTATATTAAAAAACAAAAAAAATATCTCAACTCGTGAATCTTTTTTACAATCATTTTATTGTGAAATACTTTTATTTCCAGATGGGATCCGGCTTTGAGAATCACTGCAGTTGAAGCGCTACAGCATCCATATTTTCAATAAGAAGAGAATTAAGAACATCCTTTTGAAAGTTTCAAAAATAATTGATATCTTTTCACGTCTACCGAATCCTCGACAAGAATTGAAAGATACAATATCAAACAAACAGATAAATGTTATAAATTATTTCTACTTTGATTCTTGACAAAATATGTGATTGCTTGCCATTAATATTTAATAATATTTATTTCTGTTTGATTTCTTTATTGGAGTATTTGGTCCTCAATGCTCTTTTATTATGTATTATATAGATTTCATGATATTCATGAAGAACATATATATTCACATTTCCAATAATATATTAAATATACAAGATACACTCACATAGTTTACTTTACTTTACATAGCATAGAAAGTTTATTAGGCAGGATATATCGAACAGTAAGCACGTGAACAGCACGACAAAGGATAAGGGGCATCACAGAAATTCCCATAAACGAATTTTCAATGGTGCCTCCATGTTTAGCAAATGATTCGCATTGGTCAGACATTTTAGACCTCTATATGAGCCTGATGGAAATAAATGTTTAGTTTCCTTTCTCAAGTATGATCTCGAACCTCTGTGAATGTTTGTAGGCATGAGTACTATTTCCACGAAATATCATTGAAATTGATCAATAATGAAATAATAATCAGTAATAGGAATAATGAAACTGCTTAATCAGTTTCAGATAACATGGAACAATAGATTCATTATATATAAATATATATTATTAATATTACTTCTTATATATGGGGCATTTCAAGGTCTTACGTGCGTAGGGCACATAAAGGCAAGATTCGACCCTGTGATTAACCAAACTGCTAGACTCGAAAAAATTCAGATTTTTCACATTGGTGAATAAAAAGATTTTTGTAATTAGCATACTGTCATGCAAACATGAATATTTTAAACTCGAGTCGATATTACTAACACTCGAAACTTTAGGGAAAGGAAAAACATATAATGAATCGCTAAACGCATGACAATATCTAAATTGCATGTTATCTCGATAGATTCATTTCACAAGTCAACGGTAACATTGTGGAACGAAGACACGTAATTTGGATAAAAGTGCAATGTTATGTTTAGTTTTCAATGTTCAAGAAGATTTTTATATGCGACAGGGATTGCTATGAACGGACTTTTCAATACAAAGACGTTGATACACGGCTATACTACCCCCAACCTTCCTATCGTCGATCAACTGCCTATCCACCTCAACTCCCTATCCTCGACCCACTGGCCTATCTCCCTGTACATTGCTGTCCTTGACCCACTGTGTTATCTCACCCAAACTTCCTCCGCCTCGACCCACTGTCCTATCCCTCGCAGCCTACTCATCCTCAACCCACTGATCTAGCCCCCAAACTTATCTGCTCTGGGCCCATACCCCTATACCAGCCCCACCTAAACTAACTATGCTCAAAATCCGATTGACACTCCCAAGCTTGTTTTCTCTTGATTAAGCAAACTCTCAGGTTTTTTACGGCTCGAGTATGCCAATGAGATGATTGAAGCGTACGTCGACGAAACAAGTTTATAGGGTTGACGCATTCGTGACATATTATTATGAGTATATTTGAATATAAAACAAACGAAAAGCTTCAATGAATGCAGATGACGAAAATGTTTGAAATCTTCGAAAGGCACTAATTTACATCACTGGCCAGGCCATTTAAATGTAGGCTGGAAATCTGGAATCCCAAGTGGTAATCAATCGCCATAATTGGTAGGTTAAAAATTTGCTACTAGGTAGTCCACTGATGCTCCTGCGAGCTGAGCTGGCTGGCTGGCTGGCTGGAATCCAGATCAAAGCCGTCATACCCAGGACGTCGTCTACAGACAATTTATGGTTCATTATCTCTGAACAGAGATGGTCACCTTCCACAACTTTTCGTGGTAGAAACTTTTTGTCTCTTCACTTCCGCTATGCGGATAGTATTATCAGCTTTGAAAACATAGCAGACTTACGTGGCGCATGTTTTGGCCACGCAGCTGCTTGGGTGCAAACCATTTCAGAAGTGGTGGATCCCGTATGGTACACCTTAGTCGCGCCGGCTACATCAGCGTTTTATTCCGCCTTATAGATAGTGTAACTAGTGCATCGGCAAACTGTCTCTTTTTCGCCTAATTTGATTCCAAGGGCCGAAATGTTGTTGATTATTGCTCGCGTCAGTGATTCCAGGTTCAGTGTATACGGGTGTTAATATTTTCAAAACAGCCGTGCTTTTGTTCACAAAGACATCAGTGGCCTAACAAGTAGCAAATGTTTGAGCTATTATAATTATATTTCACGAATGCCGTCAACCTTAAAGAATAGACTTGTTTCGTCGACGTACGCTTCAATCATCGGGTCTGGTATAGTTTAGTACCACATGTACTTCTAATTGGCCTGGCTCAATAATTTTTGCATATGTCAATCCTAACCCCCACCTGACTACGTCACCGAAAAATTACGTCATTTCGACATCACATCAGCGCAACATGGCCCGTTAAAGTATGCTGATGGTTGTCCAAATCGCGCAGACGATCACCCGAAATCGAGCAAGCGATTTCTCTCGTTTTCTCGTCACAACGTTCACGATAGGAGAGAGATCGCGGGCTTTAGCGAGTTCGTTGTCAACGGCGCAGATGCCATTTCGGGCGATCGTAATTATTATTTGGCAAGCCCTATGACGTGTTGGTGACGTAATTTTTGGATGGCATAGTCAGGTGGGGGTTAGGAATAACATATGCAAAATTCGTTATGCTACGCCCACTGGAAGTACTTGTGATACTAAACTATACTAGACCCCAAACATCTCATTGGCATACTCAAGCCGTATACAAGTTTGCATAATCACAATCAAGCAAGGTTGGGCTTGACGATCGTAGCGTGGGTAAAGTGCGGTTAGGTTATGTAGGGGGTAGTATGGGGCAGTGGGTTGAGGATAGGTAAGTTGGGGCAGTGGGTCGAGGCTTGGAAGTTTGAGGGAGGTAGCGCAGTGGGCCAAGGAGAGGAAGATAGATGTGGGATAGGAAGGTTGAGGGAAATGAGAAAGTGGGTGGAGGCTAGAGAGGCTGGGTGAGGTAGGCAGTGGGTCGATGGTGGTAGAGGAGTGGGTCGGGGTAGAAAGACTGAAAGAGATACCGGTAGGTAGTGTATTGCGGATCGGACAGTGGGTAGGTGATAGAAAGGTTGTGGAGATAAGGCTGTGGGTCTAGGATAGGAAGGTTGAAAAATATAGGGCGGTGGGTAGAGATTAGAAAGGTTGAGGTAGATTGGCAGTGGGTAGAGGGTAAAACAGTGGGTCGGAGGTAGAAAGGTTGGGGAGATAGGGCAGAGTGTCAAAGATAGAAAAGTTGAAGGAGAAGGTAGACATTCTAATTCGCTTGAATGTAATAAAATGCATGACAATATTCCATAGTTTATTCCTTGCGCTTAGCTCAGTCATTGAAAGTTCAGTAGCCTGGGTATGCCAGGCAGATAATAAAGCGCTAGATAGGAATAAAGATTGAACAATCAAACTGCACTTTGCTATAGGATTGCTAAATTTATGAATTCATATTTTCTACATAGCCAATTAACAATAGATTTCGAATTGACATATTATTATTGCAACATTTTTTCTCGAGTTAGTCGATTTGTGAGGTTTATTTAAACATTATTATAGAAAAGTTATTGTTTTACATATCCGGGCTAAAATTTTAATCGCTGATAAGAGTATTTATTTGTATACTACTACACAAAAAATGAAAATGGTATCTATGTTATCTATATTTTATCAGAATATTTTCCACTCGAGTCGATATTACCAGCACTCGAAGCTCTTGGGAAAGAAAATAGTTGTTGAAAATCATATATGGAATCGATAAACGCATGACAACAACTAGTTAAGTATCTCGATTCTCGATACATTCATTTCACAAGTATACAAGTCGACGGTACCATTGTATAACGAAGACGCAAAATTTAGATAAAAGTGCAATGTTATGCTTAGTTTTCGGCGATCAAGAAGATTTTTATGTGCAATAGTAATTTGTACAATTCTCGTGATTGCTTTGAACGGACTTTTGAATATAAATATCCATATATCGAAATATGACAAGAACATAAGATATTTTGTCGATTCTGACAATACACATCGTATTGTGAATGGAAGAGATAATAGCAATGAACTTAATAAAGAGCAAACCTCAAAAATTCCGAGTTCGATACAAGATGGCAAAAAAGATAATTTTGATGTAAATAAGCAAATACCTTTTAACCAATGGAGTGAGGACTCTATCGCTGAAAACAGAAGTAAGTAATTTAATATTTATGCGTGTGCTTAGATTTGCAGGAAAGAATCGAGATACATTGTTTAACTTAGCTCGCGGTCTCAACTGAGTGGAAAATTGGGACGGCTCCAATTTTAAACATTACTTATTTTTGATTGGGGTTCTTCTGCCAAAATAGCTTGCAAATAAATGCCTCGATTTACAGTAAGTATGAAACAGATTGTATTGAATTGTAAATATTTTTAACGAAGGCTACGATGATAAAAATGAACAAACTATATCTTGTTATACTAACGGCGATTAAGATTTCATTCACGCAGCATTTTTAAATTGATTCTTCTAGATATCTTGACAAGCATCAGTCAACCAAATGAAAAAATAATGGAGAACGACGATGAAAGCGTTGAATATATCCAGTGAGAACAGTTTGTTATATTTGGGAAAATTTCATGGCTTTAAAATTTATTCATAAAACCAAGAAGAAGAACAATAAAGTATACTATAGACTCTATAACAACAATATTTATTGATACAGAAAAAAACAATGATTTATTTTTTAAAATTGATTTTTAGGAATATGAGACGAAATAAGGAGACTTTAAACGAATTTGAAATTCCTCTATTCGACGAAAATATTTTCAGAATATATAATGATGAAGGCAAGACTTCGACTTTACAACGTGAAGAAATGGAAGTTAAATTTCCAATTACACCAACAGGTTTGTACTCGATAACTCACAATTTATAATTTCAATTAAATACCTTCAACTCTCGTCGTCCTCTTGCTTTCGTTCCCAATCAAATCGTAATTTTTCTCTTCGAAATTACTAGTTCAATCAAATGATTCAGTTTCAAACATGAAAACACGAATTATTTAAAAGTTCAATGCGTTTATGCTTATACTTAATGTGATACAGATGCCATCAGAAAGTTTGGAAAATATCTGAGTTCCTGGGAGCAAAATGAAATTTTCAATTACTCTAATCTTTGGTATCTCGGTCTCGATGCGAACAAAACACAAAGTCAACCAACTGCCTATGATAACTATGGATTTGATTATTCATCTGGAGCTAAGAAAGGACATTATAAATTGGTGAGAACTCGATTCCCAAAACAATAACATTTTCTACATCCTAACGTGATTATTACATATAAATCTGAATGTAAAAAAACATGCATCTTATCAGATTACAGCATGGTGATTTCGTTTGTCCATTCGACCTGCACAATCCCAGTTCATCTGAAACATAGTCTTCAGTTGTTACGGTATTTTATTCGCCATTTGTGAATTTCTAATCCGGAAAAAACTTTTTTTTGCACAAGGCAATTCGAGATCACATCGCGTACAGATATGAGATAGTTAGAGAACTTGGGATGGGATTGCAAGGAATTGTGGTGGAAGCGATTGATCACTCTAATAATGAAAGCGTTGCATTGAAAATTGTGACTGGTAATATGAAGTGAGTTGACTTTCATATACAAGGTAACACAAGAAACAAAACCCATGCCTTTTGGAACCATATACTAGAAGAAACATAAGTTTTGTACAAAGCGTCCCAGGTCACTGGAACCTTTGCATACACGATTATATACAAACAAAAAAATTTCAAGAGTTAAATATATATTCTTATATTTTTGTAGGAGTAATCAAAATATTTATAGATTGTATTTTCTGGGTCACTCTGTACGAGTGTAAATTTATTCACTTAATATTGAGGTCAAACACAGCCGTAATAAACGAAACAAGATCAAATTGAAATGGCACGTTCAGACATACTAGACAGAAAATAATTAAATTATTTGTCATTAACAATTGCTGCCCCATTGACGTCCGTGAAAAAGGAAGAGACAGAAAAAATCCACTCTTCTACATTATTCGACCCAACTATACGAGCCAAGTCGTATTTGATGCAAAAATGTAGACCATAAACTCATTAAAATGCATCAGATTTTTCCAAATGATAATTTAATTTAAATATTCTATCATTCTCTAGATTTCTCTTGACCATAATATTTATGTATTTCTACTATAATAGAAGCGAAATCTACTTCCATCGAGAGCTTGAAATCATGAAATTCATCGAGGCAAATGCAACAGATCTTGACTACTTCACACATTTGATTGACTACTTTCGATTTCGCAATCATTGGTGTCTAGTATTGGAACTGATGGGGTAAAAACATCGAAATCATTTATTGTTTTAGGAAACATCCTTGAATCATAAAAAATGTGGGCATGCGGAAACTGACTTAGACACTTAACAGAATTTTTCAGTATTTGGTGGAATGCAATCGAAGCATTTCGGACTATCACTACTTATTTATTTTAAAAGTTGTGAAAGCGGTCATGCAGAGTGAAAGTAGCATATTTGGTCTAATAAGAGGGTATTACACCAACAAAAACGAATGTTATATCAAAATTTATAGTTTAGAATGTCGAGAGTAGTTGACTATCTCAAAATCTCACCGCTCAAATTGCAAGCTTGAAAAAGTTGCCTAACTCACGTTTATTCGTTTTTTTTTTCTTGACTGACTGACTGACCAACCCTCAAAACTGATAAATTAATTGTTCGTTAGACCCGCGTTTCCCAACCGGGTAGGAAATTCCACTCGACGAAAGAATTTTGTCATGCTCGGGAAGGAATATTGCTTTGTGTTTTGTATTCTTTAGTCCTTTATTACTACAATAATACTTATTTATGCACACATTTAAACTACTCAAACTAAGAGTAAACGAGAGTAGGCTATTTGGGAAAATTCTAACCACGTCAAATTTTCACAGGCCTTCAATTGGTCTTGGTGCTATCGAGGATGCTTATGTAATGCGTCGATATACGAATGATACTTTTCACGGGTTATACTACCTACACAACCTCAATATTCTACATTCAGATGTCAAACCGGTAAATATTGATTTCAAGTGGGCTTAAAAAGGCGCATTAAAGGGGAGATTGAATTATACTTTGCCTGGTATTGCGTCCTTATATTGAAAATAATAATATTTCTCGTTTCAGGAAAACATCATGTATATTCGCGGTAAAACTAATCAAAGCGAAGGGCAACTTTTAAAACTTGTTGACTTTGGAATGAGTTGTATTCCCGGTTCCACAGGTAATAAACTGAACAGTGTACATCAAAAACTGGGAAACCTTTAAACACGGCCGGTTTTAGGCTACTACAGAGGCCTATGTGGCCACAGAGGGCCCAAACTTCCATAGTTCCGCGTTACTCCTGCGTGTACGCAATGCTACTTTAATCGTGGGTTTGTACTTGAACTAAAATGTAAGGACGAATTTATTTTATATTTTAAAATTCTGGCTCTTGTTATTATCCTCTAATTGTACCCATATCGGGTCTCATGTGATTCGCTGGATATAAGGCCCTGATTTATGTGTGCCTAAGAGCAGCTCTAAAAAATGCGCTGGCATTTGGTAAAGAAATAGGTCAGTTTTTGGGATGGTTTAGTAATAAAGTAATTGTATTATTTACGGTAATTTCCACGTTACGGCAATTACTACTTGCTTGTTGTTATAGTGGTTAAAATGCTAAAACCAAGTTATTCACGTTTAATGGTCAATTTGGTATTTTAATACCTTCGGTTTGTGTAAAAATCAAAATAACTGATAATTGTAAAAGTTATTTTTAAAAATGCGGTTAATCCAGAAATGATAATTTTTCTAAACTCTTACATTATGATAGGATAATCAAATACATAAATAAATTGCGAATAAATACTCAAATATATATACGGTAATATAGTATAATTTGATGTTCACAAGTTGTAGCTTATGTTAAATGTTTTTTAAACTGAAATCTTATGCAGGAATAATTATTTTGCTATAAATTTTCATTTGTATCGTCACTGAATCTAATTGGTTAAAATTAGATACACTAGTTCAGAACGTAACATCAAGTCCTATTAAACGAAATGTATGTCATTGTTTCTATACTCATTGTATATTCACAGATCACAAATGTGGGGATTACTATCTCCAACCAAGATTCTATCGATCTCCAGAAAGTATTTTATGTTTGCCTGTAACTACCAAATGCGACATATTCAGCGTTGGTGTACTACTAGTTGAGTTCATCATTGGCTTTCCACCTTTCATGGGAAACAACGAGGTTGCACAACTGGCAGCGATGATGCAAGTGCTTGGATTTCCACCTTCACATCTAATTGATATTTCGCAAAGAAAAGAGGTTTTCGCTGGTGAGCGTCCGTTTCTGAAAACTGTTTTTGAGCTTTGTTAGGGAGGACCGTAGATAGGGGGCAGCGGCGCCGGGCAACATATAAATGAATTTGCTCTTATACACGTGAGTTTGTTGCTTAGTTCAATGGTTTAATTAATAATACAAGCATTTCAATCTTACTTCACCTTTAATTTATTTATTCTCATGTATACCAACATCTATAATTTGTTTATTCCCCGAATTATATTTGAAGTTAGGTATAATGGGCATCATTATCATAAACTTGTGCAGCAGAAAAGTTTGACATGCCCTATTTGTTAGTTACATTATTCTCCAAGCTCGGGTATTTATTTGGCCGTATCCCAAATCCGCCATAAAAAACAATTAAAATAGTCCTCCCATTTTTATATTGCTTACTAGTAACTACACTTTTTACAGAAAAATAAACTCGGTCCGATAGCTGGCCTTTATACAAAGGGGAAACAGACACCACCTGTGTCATTAAATGTGTTCATTATCGAAATAATATGATGAATGGTCATTAGCAACAGATAAATTATAACTCACCTCACCTCAAGCTTTTTATTCTTTTTATTCAACAGCGGCTTTAGATTTTACAATATTGAACGGATTTCATCAGAATCCTTATCTCAGAAATCTAAACGAACTACTGGAAGGACTTAACCCACTGCTGATTGATTTAATAACACGGTGTCTAAAGTGAGTATTTTATTAGACGCAAGGTGACTTTAGTATCGTTTTGGTATTATACGCTGTTGATGGTATTTCACTTTAATTTCTGGTAATATATAAAATCTCTTTTCTTTTGAACTACCTGAAAAAAAAATTGTATTCGTCATTCGGACCTCCTGAAGTTTGCGCACCAAAATGGCGCACTACCTGAACTCAGGTTGTGTACCAGGTTAAGAATCAGGTTATGTACCAGGTTAAGGTTCAGGTTGTGCGACATCTTGATGCACATACTTCAGGAGTACCAGTTATTCTTCAAGTCGCTTTCTTTTCTTGTCCTAGGTGGGATCCAAAAGTGAGAATTACTGCAGAAGAAGCTTTACGTCATCCATACTTAACAATAAATTAATTGATATGCATTTTGGTATTGGATCTTGTTGTTTATAATAAAGTAACTTGATGAAGTCAAGAATTTCGGGTTATTTTTTATCAGGTTTGAGTTCAACCACCAATCAGCTTGGGCGAATTTCAGAGAACGGAACAAGTCTATATATATATATATCAAATACACATTTGTCATACACTTTCTATGGGTTCTATGGTATCCATGTGAATAGAGAAAATTCGTTTTCTTAAGTTTAATTTTTGTTAATTCAAATAATTTATCCCACATTGAAGTTTATAACAAAATAAGATTTTTTGCCACGGCTCTGAGTTACTGGGCATTGGTGTGGCCGTGTTCTTTTAGCCCCCAAATAAAAGTTTTCAATATGCGCAACAAGCAACTGACAAGTCTGAACACCGAAACAGACACACGCCTCACCCATTGAACTCGAAATATCGCGTTGTCACAGCGCGGGATCATTTTATCGCTCCTATCTTGGCATTTATGCTTCCACACTTCTTTTGTGTTACATCTAGTTATGCCTGTTTTTCGTCTATGTTAGTAACAGGTGCTCCGCATGTGGGTACGTCGATGTAATTGCGAAGGAGATGATGATAATGAAAGTCTGCAAAAATGAATATATTTAATAGGAAAGAGAAACGCCTAACAGTACAGCAGTACCGTGTGGTTAACAATATCAGTGGCCTGTCATTATGTTGTTTGGCAGTTTGTATGTACAATGTATACAGTAGCTATTACGACTCATGTCTTGTAACGGTATGCAGTACAGTGCTGCAGTTTGTGAATGCTCAATACGTTTAAACACAGATGTACCCAAATCAACAAAAAGTCATGCCACGTATTTTGAGGTGATTTTTCTAAAATATATATATATGGCATTTTGAAATGAAAATTACTATAGTAAGCAGATAGCGGAGTTCATGGTTTCATACTCAAATTTTTTATAGATGAAAGATATATCTCAGTAACTGTAGGTTGGTTATCTTCAATAGATTTTTATTAAAGTTGGAAACTGGGAAGGGCATAAAATATCCAAGTAGTTGAAAACTTTTGCAATGACTGACTTTATTGTTTGATTTGAATAAAGATTTTCCATTTAGCTCCATCACACCCAACTGTTATAGGAAGATAGCACCTAACTTTGAATTGATCAAGCTAAATGGCGATGCTTCTTCAATGTGGTGTAATTTTGAAGTTAAGTTTCGTATTTCAGAGGTATGACCGAAATCGAATCCTTAACTATTCAGTATACGAAATACCATTATTTGGAAAATTACAATATATATTCTATATATCTTTGTTCTGATCATATTTGAAATAACACAAATATTAGGATAATTGGTTTCCTATTTCATTTGCATTTGATGTACCTACGTTTCGCCCTGCTTGGCTGATGCCAAATTTAGGTCTTAAAATCGAAGATATTTCAAAATTTCCCTAAAATCAAGAGTCTATTATATCGATTATAATAAATAACTTTTAATATGTTGGACTATATAATTTTATTTAGACATTTAGAGTTTAGGTTTTCATTATCATCAACTGCTTTTACTATACAAAAGCAGTACGCTCATTGTTTATATTGAGGTCATTGGACTAAAACATAAAACTGGCAATAGTTTATAAAATTCCTTCTGGAGACAAAGCTTGTGTTTTAGAAAAGACTATTGGACGCCACAAGTTTCCTATATATTTGCGAATATTGAACTCAGGTTCTTCAGCATTAAAAACAAATTAAGACCAAACTTATTTCAATGGCGATATGACGACATCATGTGAATGATTGGCAGTTGGCACTATATAGTGCGAGACTCAAGAACATTTATGACTCTACAAAAATGGTCGTTGTACTATAATAGCTAGATTGTAACGGTTTCGTTTCGCGATCAATATTAGCGATTTATTGGCGACTTGTCGCGTCCAATTGGCTTTACTGGTTGACAAAAGTAGTGTTAAGTGGTGCTTCTTTGCAAACCACAATGTCATCCAGCAGGAAATTCATTTCACATAAAACGGAATGTTTAAACAGTGATATTCATATCGTATCGTCGACTGACGGCAAATTGTAGTGGAATCAAACATCAAGTTCAGCTTTTTTCATGAAGTTTATTTCAATATTTTTTAGATAGTATTCTTCGAACGATGAAATATCATACCTTAACATTTGTTACAAATAGCTAGGTAGAAGAAGAAAGAAATATAAACAGTGAGGATAGACGATAATATTCATTTTTGTATATGAAATATATCCTTCATTTTACACCCAAATGCACTCTGCCTTCTTTAGTTCCAGTAAAATCTCGTTGGTTTATTTTTGCAGTGAGTTCCAAGTGCTTGATTTATGAAATGGGAAGAAAGGAATAAATTTCCTGCTATGTGATGAATATGCAAGACAAATATTATTGGAAACATTATGAAGCTACGATAACACAATATTACAAACAACCGATCTGAAATCATGTATTGTTGGCATGTGAAAACAAAAATCCGCTATGCTCTGATGTTTTGTATTTTCGTCTCCATTGCGAGTTATTTTACAATGTATAAAACAACAAACGGTGAAGAATCTATTTGTACTGAAACAAAAAATGCATTTTTAAATCAAGTTGGACACTTTTGGATGGCGGGTATGCAAAAAACACAAAACGAAATTTTGAGTTCGGATGAGAATCTTGACCCTGGAAAAGTGAGATTAGATGTAGAAGAAGATACTCGGATAAGTGACAAGTTTTGTGATAGAAAAGTTAAAACCAATTTGGACAAACAATACAGCCAGGGAGATTATGACGTCATCGTTGTCAAAAGCCCCAATCGCCAATTGAGCATTCCAGGCATTGAGAATGATCCGCATTTCGCAGCCACTGACTCATTTTTCGAGGATAAGTTGGAAAACAACTTCTTGGATAATGATGAAGAGCGAAACAAGACCATTGGTAATTTTTATTGAACAGGAAGTGAACCTTTGTAGCGTTTTGCTAAATTGATGTTGTTAATCGTTTAACGGTGTTGTTGTTATTAATGCAAATCGTTTTTCTCTGATACTAATAGACCAATCGGTTTCAAATTTCCAATTCCAAATTTTCAAATTATGATCAATTTTACAAAAATGAGAACAATTCCCCATTTCGGTATCGTTTACTATCAAACTAATTGTCTATGTTGTATATGTTTGACTGATTTCAATTAAATGTCAACCAACCGAAACAGATATAAACTTAAAGTTTATTTAAGTATTTAAAAAAATTCACAGATCAGAAAGGCATGAAAGTTGACGATGAGATTATTCATTCAAATCGATCGCAAACTTTTCCCCTTATCCCAGAAGGTTAGTAAGAAATCTATAATTAAACTATTGCGAATTTTATGTTTTATTTCAATGGTCACAATATGAGTAATATGGTCGTCATAAAAGAGTTGTCTTTGCAACTTTTTATTTTTCACATTGTAAAAAGTATTTGATAAATAAGACATTTCAAAACTATAGAAAAATTGATAAACGTAAACCATTAGTGCAGCTAATATCTTCTATCCATTGTATCTATATGCATGTAAAAATTTTGAGCGACTTTTCACATTTCTTTCAATTATTACTCTGAGCTAGATGCACTACTAATATTTGGAGATGAACTAACTCCATGGGAGAAAAGAGAAATCATGAAATATGAAAAGATTTGGTATGTAGGAGAAGGTGCAAACAAAACAGAAGCTCAACAAGAGGCTGATAACAATTACGGATTTGATATTGAGTCAGGAAAATATGAAGGACACTATAAAGTGGTTAGATCTATATCATAGTTACTTGTGCTATACTCAAAAAATATGTGATTGATTGTGCAATAATATATATCATTATTTTGAATAAGAGATGCAGTTTCAATGCTGTGATCCATTCTTTTCAATAGGTTTTGAACGATCACATCGCATATCGTTATCAAATATTAAAGAATCTTGGAATGGGCAACGGAGGTACAACCGTGAAAGTATTGGATCATTCAAATAATGAATTTCTTGCGATTAAAATATTGGTCAATTCAACAGCACGGTAATGGTTAATTTTTTTTTTTTTACAAACATATGGTGTGTTTTACAAGGTATAATGCTATACGCATGAAACATATCAAAACATTGTTGTATTGAAGAAATTGTGTATATTCGATACAAATTTTTATTCTCAGACGCACTAACCTGTGACCGACCGCCCATGTAGATATATTGTCCGCTAGCAAGAATTAAATTTGTATATGTTGCCCTTTGCTCTCTTATATCAGGAAAAGCGAACTACATAGGTGGTGGTTCACGTGGCCCGATGAGTCATCAATTGTAAGGAAAACGTTTCAATATTTCGATCATGATAATCGATAATGAATTTTTTTTAATGCAGCCGGCCTTGGGTCAAATTAAAATCAATGCCCCAATGTGCAACTAATGACAAAATGTAGTGCTGACGCGTATGGCCTAACGAAGTGATATATTCATTTATAATAAATTTGCATTGATATGAAGCAATTCCTCAAGTTCATGAAAACGACTCCTTTTAGGGCGTCCATGAATCAGAAGTTGTCCTACGACGGTTCTTGGGTGCATGAAAGAACTAGATTTTATTGTTAGATTCTTTGCCCGCATGCAATTAAAATCGAGAATTATCTAATATGATGAGTATATTTTATATAATCAGTGATAGCATGTCTAAATCGCTACCACTTGTCCAAGGTAGTGGACACATGCTACGTCTATTCTGCGATATTAGTCCAGTGTACTCCAGGATTTCATTTAATGGATTCGCTTTGTTTTACAGGGGTAAAGATCTTTACATGAGAGAACTGGGAATAATGAAATATATAGAGTCGAACGCAACCAACAAAAATTATTTTTCACGGATGTTTAATACAATTTATTTCCGAAATCATTATTGTATCGTTCAAGAATTATTGGGGTAATGTGAAATTTCTCTCTATATATATTGTTACTGCTTAATTATTCAGGGGAGTATAAAATCATTCGAAAATATTTCCTCGAAACGTATAGGAATTGAAGGGCTTAATTAATTCGTGTATTTTGTAAACATCCATCTATGTTCGTGGTGTGTTATCGTTTTGGTGTCGATGACAGAAAAAGTGCTTTTTACTTTTCAAATTTTACTTTGTTTCCTCCCTTTTTCCGGATTTTCACTCTTGTTTGTTCGCGACTTTTTATGGCAGAAATCGAAATAAATTTCATAATCTAGATGAATTATTATCCGTTTAGAGATTCACTACATGATATTTATTCCAATCGTCCGGTAGAAAGTCTAGATTTATTACGACGTTTTTCAAGCGACATCATGCACGCAATGTATTACTTGAGTGAACTCAACATTTTCCACTCAGATTTAAAACTGGTAACTTAAATATATTACTTATTTGGAAAATAAAATAATCAATAAATAGTCAAATGAAACTTTTTTGTGCTGTCGAATTGATTTATTTTTAAACATTTTAGAAATAAATTTCAAGATTGATGATTCAAATTTTAAACAAGATTACAAATGTTATTTTCCATTTTTTACTGTCCTTTATTACTATTCGTTCTATACACATGTTTTCTCAACTTGACTGTCGTTTGTTTACAGCAAAATATAATGTTTCTTTATGGAAAAAATGATCAGAGTGAAGGCCAACTACTAAAAGTTGGAGATTTTGACCTGAGTTGTGTTCCCCATGCGGAAGGTAAGAAATATTCTTTTTTGATCGTATCGTTTTGATCATCACTTCATTTGTTAAGACTTTGCGTTATTCTAGTTTTTGTGCTTTTCAACCTCGTGTAGTATCCAAAACAACACTTACGGCTCGGTAAAAAAAGTATATATATATGAAGATAGCGCCATAGATTATAACTGTCACAAGTTTTCTACTAGGCAAAGATATGAGAGCAGCATTGATTTGAATTGTATTGAATTCCAGATTTCTTCTACCGCTGTCCGGAAGGAGTCGTTTTCCAGCCATTGTATTGCAGATCGCCGGAGAGCTTATTAAACTTACCTGTATCATCACAATCCGACATGTTCAGTTTAGGCGTGATAATGGCTCAACTTTTTCTTGGCACTCCTTTATTTATTGGTAGAGACGAGGTGGATCAGTTTGCAGCAATGATGGAAGTTATTGGTCTTCCGCCCGCACATATCATTTCACAAGCAAAAGAAATATATGCAAGTATGCAGCGTTTAATTATTGGTATCTTTACCTCAGTTGTGAATGGTGAATGAACATATAGTTTTCAAATTGTTGTACGAGATAGAACTAAATTTCCAACATTACAGCTAGATCAGCAAATTTCCGAGTAATACAAATCAGCTCAGAAAGCTGTGACCAGTCTATTCTAACTGCTCAGTCACAAACTTCAAACCAACAATGGGATTTCAGATTAACCAGTTCTGGCTACCAATCTGTTTAAAATTGTTTGCGGTAAGATCTGACAATTTAACATTGCTGACTTGTGAAAATTATTGCCACGCACCATCTGACAACAAATTAACGTAGACATTCAATTTCGCTGTTTATCAAAGCACAATTCTTATTTTACATCTTGTTGATATCTTTTGAAATGTATATCATCTCTACAGACACAACACAAATTAGCAGTTCTAATGCAATGCCTTATGTTGGCAGGAGCAATCTCCTATGCAACCAGGACATGGTTCCGTCGCATACCCGGAAAGAGACCGCTTGATTATGTTTTGAGAGATATTGATCCTCTGCTGTTCGATTTAATTTCAGAATGTTTGGAGTAAGTATTTTACCATTTCACCGTGGAAGATGACAATAAATATAAAGTTTAAACCGAAGTGAGCTTTCATGATGTTAAATATGTTCCTTAATAATCCTTTACATTTGATAGATTTCTATTCGTTTATTCAGGTGGGATGCTGATATTAGAATCACGCCGAAAGAAGCATTACTTCATCCATTTTTTACTAAAGTCAATGGATAAATGCGGATCGTCGTCATCCTCGTACAAAATAATTCGGGATCAAGAGTTGTCATTTGACGTTTTTCATGTTAACGTATACTGTCCAAACTTCTTACGGCCATGAAGTTTCTTTAAACGACCTAAGAAGCATTTAAATTACCAATTCGTGAATGAAAAAATGATCATTTCAAAATGTAAATTATTTTAAAATATATCATAATGTTCATCCTGTCAGTTCTTCATTAAAATCTTTTTTGGATAGGAATAAGTAGTAGTAAAACCACCACCAAATCGTTTTGTGAAAGGATCTTCCCCGTTGACACCAGTAGTATTCCTCACAATTGAGAGTGGTATTCCCAGTTGGCCGTTACATGCTCATAATGTTATAATCATTATAATTAGGAAATACAGCAAATTACGCGTAGGGTAACTTCTTCCACTATGGCTCCGAGTCACGGGGCGTAACTGAAATCATGTCCCGTGTTTTAGGACCCCAAATGAATGTCTGCAATCCATGCACTAACAACTTATAGTACTGCAAATATCAAATGCAGGCTCAAACACAACTGGTGTTGATGTCAGTGTTAACTTTTAGCGGTGTTATCGCACAGTCTCAATGTTAGTGACAAATTAACTGTTTTTGACGAGGATTCAAAGAACAACCACAAGTACGCTAAGATACAAAATAAGACAATGATCAATAAACGATACAAAGTAGCTTACTGTTATCTGAATCTATCCGGCCAATGAATGGACAGACCCAATACCATACTAATTATAAAATTCCCACCTAAGAATATTTAGTAATGTATGGCAAAAGACTAACCTGAAAATATCAACAATGAAATCTATAGCGGCACAGCATCTAGAGCGCGCAAATTGATGTGATGTTCAAAAAAGTTTGATTGGTGTATATACATCGCAATTCATTTTCCAATTTACCCACGTTTAGCATGGGGTAAAATTTGGAGACAGTAGCCAACAAATGGATGGGAAATTGACGTGCAAATTTAGAAAAATTTTTGGGGTTCATCAAAGAGAACGCGGCAAGGTGTTCAGTGCGCAGACGATCGCCTATTTGATTCACCAGAATGTCACAGCATTCCTTTGCAGACAAAATCAAACGCTGCGTTGTTTGCCCGCGGCGTAAAGAAGCACTCCAAGTGTCGTCGTATTTTATTGTTTCCCGGATACGAGATACAGCATCGCAGAAGTCTGAAATACACGACTGCATAGACGCTCCATCCATTAGCCTTGACTGCAATGCGCCGTATAATACATCCACGTGATAGAATATTGTGGAGAAAAAATGAAAACTCACCATCTTCTAGCAGACGCTTTAGACCTGCCGCCTCCCTCACAGAGCGTCCGTCCCAATGCCATTGAAACACTCAATGAGCTCAGACCTAATTTCGGACACGCCCTGCACCACGCGTGATTGGAAGTTCCAACGTGTTGGTGCACAAGCTGGGAGACGGCGGCTACATATCTGGCGAAGGAGGTCAGAGCGCTTCGGCGAAACGGAAAAAAATGAAGAAAACCCCGAAACATTTGCAAAAAATATACGGACGAGAGGGGTATCAAGACACATATTTTTAATAACGAGGTTAGATTGGTGTGCATGACAATGTAAAAAATGCGAATGAGGAAAATCTTCTTTTATATAAACTTGAACACCATGTTTCGACCCACTCATGACTGCCGCGCCGTCATAAGTTTGAGCTATCAATTTCGACTTCGCGTTGTAAGGCTGTAACACTTCTTTCAGTACAGCCGATATCCCACAAGCCGTGCGATCAACGATTGGTACAAAGCTGTGAAATCTCTCGGTAGGTTTACCATCTTTCACAAACCGAAAAATCACAGCCAGTTGGGAAACGCACGTGATGTCAGTTGTCTCGTCAGACTGAATCGAAAGGAACTGGCAATTGTCAATTTCCAGAGCCAAATGTTGTAAATAAATTTTATACATTGAGTCGAGCAAATCATTTTGGATATCCTTAGATGTCCCTTTCGAAACAGTTGCGGCATCAAGATGATCTCTCAATACTGTATCTAGGGATGCGGTGTATTCCACCATATCCAAAAATACCCCTCTATTAGAAGAGCCAGCCCGTTCATCGTGCCCACGGAGGGACAACTCGTGACAACCAATGAACTTCAAAACATCTATCAATCGACCGAGAACATGGCGGTTTTTCTCGACGTTTTGGTTGTGCCGACGAATAGAAACCGCGCGTCCTTCATCCAACTGTGCTGCAATATTAACATTTCCGAATGTTCGGTATTTTACTGCATTGTCCAGTTGCTCCATAGAAGATTGATGATCTCTGGCACGCTCGGAAAGATGTTTAAGATCTCTAAAACCAAATTTACACCAACGTGAGTCACGGGCGGTAGCAAAAAGTAGGCAATAAAAACAAAAAAGTGCATTTTTGTCCTCGCTGTAACACAACCATTCGTGTTTTTTATACCAAGTTTCTGCGCAGAATGTACGCCGACGCTTTCCTCCGTCATGGGATTGTTCCAGTGAACAATTTTTTGGTAGATAAGGCCCAAGACGTTGTACCTCTAATTTTTGTTCCAGCGGCAGCTGCGAAAACGGAGTGCGAAGTATTGCATCAACCTTATTCATTATGAGGTCTAAGGCTAAGAAATGCGAAGCCGGAAAGAAGTGAGGAGCTCAAAAAGAATGTGGAAAATCGAAAGCAAATGGACTAAAGGTCTCTAACTGATTCAAATAGCGAAACAAGCGACAAAAACGAAGGCGAGGAAACTATCAACTCTTCAAGCAACCAACGAACGAGAAGGAATGCATGAATATGTCAACACGTTGTTGTAAGAAACGTCGGCATTGTGTCGTCATAATTTCGGGGCTAGCCCTGATCGGCCCCGATGATATAGTAAAAGAAACAGAAAACAAACGAGACAAACGCGGAGAGTGGAAGATAAAAGAGAGAATACGATATACAATGAGCAACCGGGGCAAAATCGGCGTCGCCCCGTCGACGTTCGGCGAAGGCTTTGCAAGCGAAAAATGAACCATGACTGGAGAATATGGATAGTGTAGACAGTCTGTGCAACCGATATTGAAGTATTTTTCGAATATTTTTTATTATACCCAAAAAACAACCGGGGCATTGCCCCGGTTGGCCCTATTGACGCGCCGTCACTGATATATATATATATATATTAAAGATAACCTGAAACTCTTGACCACGTTACTTTATTTATAAATACCATGATCCATACAAAAATGCAAACGAGTTAATTTATTGTTAAAGATGGATGACGTAAAGCTTCTTCTGCAGTAATTCTCACTTTTGAATCCCACCTAGGACAAGAAAAAAAAACGACTTGAAGAATAACGAATACAATTTTACTTGGAAACAAGCTCAAATATTTTTACACGACAGCCAAAACGAAGTAGTACCGGTATCAAATCTTTTACAGTACCGGTAGTCTTCTCAACTTCGTCTGACCACCAGATCGAAGAAATGCGATCGCGGAACCGCCACGCGGTGCGCAATTGTTAGGTTTTATGATGTCATCGCACAAGACATTAAATTGAAAAACGGATCCACAAGAGCCCACAGACATTTTTTCAATAAGGAAATAAATTTCATTGCCAACGGTCTTTCACCACTGAAAATTTCAAAGCAATTGGTCAGGCGGTATAAGAGAAAAGAGCGTTTATTTAATAACAAGAAGAAAAAGAAAATACCATCGACAGCATAATACCAAAAGGATCCATAGGTCCATTTCGCGTCTAATAAAATACTCACTCAAGACATCGTGATATTAAATCAATCAGTAGGGGATTAAGTCATTCCAGTATTTTGTTTAGGTTTCTGAGATAACGACTCTGATGAAATCCGTTCCTTATTGTGAAATCTAAAGCCGCTTCGAGATAAAAAGATTAGCAGCATTAGCTTGAGGTGAATCATAATTTATCTGTTAAAAATGACCATTCATTATATTATTCCGATAATCAACACATTTAATGGCACAGGTGATGTCTGTTTCCCTTTTGCGTAAAGATCGGATATCGACCGAATTCTTTCTATGTCAGAGGTGTAAGGACAAATACCCGCTATTGGAGGATAATGTTATTGCCAAACTTTTTGCTGCCCATAGCAAATAAAGATGGCCCTTATACCTAATTTCAAATTGGACAAATCATAGATATTTAAATTGATAAATTGAAATAAATATATTGAAAATTCCAGAAACGGACGCTCACCAGCGAAAACCTCTTTTCTTTGCGAAATATCAATTAGATGTGCTGGTGGAAATCCAATCACTTGCATCATCGCTGCCAGTTATCCAACTTCGTTGCTTCCCATGAAAGGTGGTAAGCCAATGATGAATTCAACTATCGTGTTTCCCCTAAAATAAGACAGTGTCTTATTTCAATTTTCATTCGAAAAATTCCACTAGGGCTTATTTTCAGGGGATGTCTTATAATTTTATATTTCAAAAACAAAATTAGAAAGTACAGAATTAGGAGATTTTCAAATATAAAAACCGATATCCATTTACTAAAATGACACGTTTTCAGTTTCACCTATCACACGTTTTAGATTAATTAATTATTTATTTAAATTTCGCGTTATTGACTAGGTCTTATTTTAAGTGGAGGGCTTGTATTAAAATCATTCTCAAAATTCAGGCTAGTTCTTATTTTCGGGGAAACACGGTAGTAGTACACCAACGCTGAATATATCGCATTTAGTAGTTACAGGAAAACATAAAATACTTTCTGGAGATCGATAGAATCTTGGTTGGAGATAGTAATCTTCACATCTGTGATCTGTGAATAGACAAGGAGTATAAAAACAATGATTTTGTGTTGAATAAGACATGGTGTTACGTCCTGGACGAGTGTATCTGATAAATTACTAAACGGATTACATGAGGCCCAGTCTGATTAAAGGTAGATTATAATATTGAGGACTAAAATTTTGCAATAGGAAATAAATTCGAATATGCATTTTAGTTCAATTACAATCCCACGATAACTTTACCACACATTGCGTACGTGCAGAAATAACGCGCGAACTATGGAATTGCGGACGAAGACAGGCCATGTTAAAAAGTTTCCAGATTGTTGATGTGCACTGTTCAGTTTATTACCTATGGAACCGGGGATACAACTCAGTCCAAAGTCGACAAGTTTTAAAAGT